TAACAACTATTTTTAAGGTGACAATATATAATGTATCATCCAATGGTTTTATGATGTTAAATTTTAAAAATTTCTCTATTCTACTTTTTTTTCTATTTTGTTTCTTTTCATTTTCTTTAAATAAAAAATTTTTTAAAAAAGAAATGAATCTGGTATTCTCTACCCTCCAGGCCTTGCAGCAGGATCTGCTCATGCAGTGATGGGAATCCTTGGGATCCACCTGACTCTGCATGGCCATAAGCTGCACTGTGGTGGGATTAGTGGTATTATGCTTTACATTTATTGTTGTCGTGGTCTTTGTGTGCATGAGTCCACCCTAGGGGTCACTTACAATAAACACATTTTCCCTCATCTTTCAATTGGTGGAATATGGGAAACCACTTCACAGTGCTTCAGCCCCAAAGACTTTGAGGACATGTATGGACCTCACCTAACTAATTAGCATATGAACAGCATGAACACAATTCTATAAGCATGACTTATCATAGACAGCCATGGATATGCTGAAGCTTGTAACAGTACACAAGAATGCATTCCCTGATACGGATGGAGATATATATATAGAGAGACACTTGCTTACTGCTATTGCTAATGTTGGCTCAGGTGGTTTATTTTCTCTGGGCATCTTACCCACTAAAATACCCATTCACCTCCCTAACTCTGAGAAAATCCCATACCACAGACACAGGGAACTTTAATACCCCACAATACTAAAGTTGTGTGTGATTAACAGCCCCTGTGCCCTGTTCCAAGGCATTCATCACATCCTGAGGTGCAAATCTCTGTGGGGTACAACTTTAGAAAGAGATCGAGTTTCATGCCTGTGCCTTGGAGATCATTTTTTGATCTATGTGATAGACATTTGCCCCACTTCCATACCTACTCTGTACCCCACAAGGCATTAAAGTTCTCAAATGTTCTGACCTGGACCTGGAACGTAGCTCCCCAAAGAGCAGACATGCAGTTCTCCAGCAGACTGGTTGGAGCATGGTCTCAGGTGAGTCAGTCCCAGGCTGGAGGCCAAGGACAATAGTGTCTGTTGGCCCCACTCTCACACAATGGAGCTTCTTACCAGAATGTCTTAGCCTCCCTTGATCCCTGAACCCGTGGGGACTCACTTTTTCTATGTGTTATAGTGTGTTAAAACCAGGCACAGCATTAAGGCATGGTAGTGACAACACATGTCTAGCACAACCCCTCCTGAAGGTGGCTCCCCATGGACTCTGCAAGCCATCTATTCTCAACATATTGTACCATCTTGGAGCTGATCACACTGAGGAAGTGCACAGAACAAGGGCAGGAGCAGGTGCTGGATCCCACAGAGGTAGGCAGCCCTTCTCTGTGTGTGGACCTCAGTGCCTGTCAGGGCATCGGGATGGCCCTCTTGAATGAATTAGGGAGATCCCTGCCTGGTGGTATTGAGTCAGGGTGGCAGTGGACACTGGCTGTGTCTGGCAGCCAAATGGGGCAACGCAGAGTGTATACCACTGCCACCTGCTCAAGACATCCTTCCACACTAATTCTTTTGTGGTTCCCCTGCCAGACTTTTTCTACCCTCCTTTTCCACTCCAATCTTCCTTGGAACTTTGAATGGAATCAAAGGAGGAGGCACTGCATGTGTAGCTGCCCAAAGTCTAGATGTCACTGTTCTCTGCTGTCACCCAAAAGGTATGGTGGTTGACAAAATCAGGTGTCCATCATTGAGAAACTTGGGGCCTTTTTCTGCTCTTCCATCTTCTATTCCCTAATTCCTCAGGCATCCATCCCTCCTCCTGTTATATATCATTCTCCTAAGAGCACACAGCTAGGCTTGTGCTAACCCTGGTTGGCCTGGGGGCTGCTCTGTGCCCCTTCCATCCCTTTTTGTCCCAGAGAGAATCCTGTACCCACAGGTATGGCTGATGGGTTATCACTTAGAGCAAGCTTAATCCATCCTGTGTTGTGCTTGGTCCAGGGCCTAGGATTGAGGTTACTATGAGCCCCTAATGTTGGTTCCCAGATCTAGAAGTTCTTCTTAGAACATGGTGCTTAGAATTTAGGTCTCAAGGTCAGTCTGAAAACCCCTATCTGTGGAGCATCTAAGGAGCTGACCTAAGCATTGGGTTACCATGTGATGCATGCGTATCTGGATATGTGGGGAGACAAATGCAGATACTCCTATCTGGCCGAATCGAGGTAGAAACAGTAACTTTGAAATGGCTCCTGTGGGGTGGGCAGAATTGGATCTGGCCAGGGACTAAAGGCTTAGTGCACCAGACTTTGAAGCAGGGACCAAAGATCTGGACCACACATTGGAAGGGAGGGAAATAAGGGTGCCCAAGCCCAACTGTGTCTGGGGACAAATTCCGCCCCACTGTTACCATGAGTCTCTGTCCTTTGCCAAGACCAACTGACTGTGTTATAAGGCCTGGCAGTGTCATCACTCTGCTACTAGTATGTCTCTGGTTCTCTCAGGAGTGAACAGCACCTGGACAGGAGATGGCCCAAGGCTTACATGTGTATAACGTGCCACTGTCTCAGGGACTGACTCTCAGGTAAGGTGGTCATGGCCATTGCCATTTCTGTCTTGCCTGCTAGTTGCCAGGTGCTGCTGTGTTCTCACTTTTCTGCCATTGACTCCAGAGGCAAATACCTAGTGTTCAGGTCCAGGTGTCAGGGAGGCTTTACCCAAGTGTAGTGGGAGGAGGCAAACATCCTTGAGATGCACAATGGGCCGGCTGAGGTCTGAGTGGCTGCAGAGTGGGGTGAGAATCCCATATATTTCCTTCCCCACCATATTGATGCTAGGGTCTTGGTGTACAGTGCAAAGTTCCTTCCAGGTAACTGTCACTTTTTGCTAAATCTTTCTGTCTCACAACTCATCATGAGATCCTTAATTATTTTTATTAGTATATTTTTATTAATAGCTGTTTACAGTGTTTACTGATTATTTTGATGATAGGTCCATGGCACATGTGATGGGTGGAATGGAAATTAGGCCCTACCTTGTGCATAATGGTACAATCTGTCAACCAGTGACTGTTCTCAAGCTGTGTGTGTATGACAAAGTATGTCATATATAAAAAGTATGCTGATAAAAGAATGTTGAAGGCTCTGCTAATCTTCTCCACCCAGACTGCCTGGCACTAGCTCAGCCTTCAAAACTTGGTGGGAGAGGCAGGAGAGAAAGGTAGAGGAAGATAAGGTGCTTTCTCCTCCAAGACAGCAGATATACAGAGGTAAGGGGCACTTTCAGCTGTCACTGTTAGACCCACTTCTGAGCCTGTATCCTGAGGCCAGAGAGGAGACAGCAGTTTTGATTGCTTTGCTAGAAATGAGGAGTCTGAGCAGAGCTACAGAGACAGGGCTTGGGAGCCACACTGAGGGCTCCTCCAGATTTGTCTGCATTTGGTTTTCACTTTCTGTTCCATGACTCAGTCATCACCAGCTTTTGGCAGTGTGGGTTCACTTGTCTCCCCAAGAATGAACTGCTTCTGGGGATCTCGGGCAGCCAGCACACATCTAGATTTCTATGTGTCTATGTTAGGTTGGGCATAGAGCAAAGTATAAAAGTACATGTTCCTATGATAGTAAGATTGGTGCCAGAGACTCCATTACCAAGGACTTAAAGCTCATGCTTTGCTCTTCAGGTTTGCATCTGCATGAAGCACCCATTGCTTGCCAGCTAGAGTGCATCTTTCCTGTGTCAGGCTTCTCATCTGTTGCTCTTTTTTTCCCACATGTCAGAAGTGGATTTTCTTGCTTTGTGTTTGGTTTATAAATCATTGTATACTTTATTAGTACCTGTTTACAGTGTATACTGTTTATGTTGGTTATAGGTCTATGGCTCATATGATATGTAGAATGGAAATTAGGCCCTACTTTGTGTATAATGGTACAATCCATCGACCAGTGACTGTTCTCAAAGTTGCCTGCACTGAGCATACATCTCAGGGCCAAGACATGGTGAGCACAAGGTGCTGCTTTGTCTGGATTTTCTTTTCTTTATATCAATGCAATGGGCAATGATGTAATATTTGGGAGCTTAGCCCAACCCTAACCCTTACACTAACCTGAACCGTAATCCTAACTCTAAGCCTAAAAAGTCACTGCCAACATTCTCTGGCCAAAGAAAACTTGATGTGGGACAAGACAGCAGATATACAGAGGTAAGGGGCACTTTCCTGTGGGAAATGTAACATAGATTAATTATGAGGATGTAAGATCAGTTGGGGTTCGGACAGAGCAGAAGGGGAAAGAAAAGAAAACATCTTTGGGTAAAAAAATTTGAAGAATATATTCTGGAATTGAACAGTGGTGAAATTTGCACAACATTGAGAATGCACTGATTACTTTAAACCATACTAAAATCTTACATTTTATTTATATTTGTTCTAACACATATCTCTGGGAAATAAGTGTAGCAGTGAATAGAATGATAAATAAATCTGGAAGAGATGGGAATGGCAGGTCTGGGTCAAGAGCTGCAAGGAGGTAGAGTTCAAGAAAAAAGCCCTGCTGTGGAGCCACCAGGAGGTCCAGCTCTGTAGCTGGTGGACAAGGGAATCCAGGTGCCTGCTCTTGCTGTGGGGCCAGAGCTTGTGAGGGAGCTGCAGGTAGAGCTGGCACAAGGTCAGCAGGTTCAAGTTCTGCATGGCCTGAAACTGGCTCAACAGTTCCAAGAAGAGAAAAGATGACCAACTGTCGATGGGTTTCTTGGGGCAAAACCTTCCCACTGGCTGTCAGAGGGAGCCATGTGCACCAACATAGCCCAAGCAACACAGTTGTAGATTACATCCCCCCACTGACTGCTGAGAGTCTCATGCTCCTTGGTCCCCAGCATCTGTGTGCTTTGCTGAGTTCCAAGGCCCATCCCCTCCCACAAGCCCACATCCCACATCCCAGGGTTACTTACCCTAGGGTCTCAGCCTTGGGGGGTTCAGGAGTCTCTAGCTGGTCTAGGAGAAGCTCAGCCTGGGGATCCACATGTGAGTAGAGTTCCAATGCAGAGTCAAGCACAGAAGAGGTGGACCTGGTACAGGGAAGAAAGGAGCAGAGTGAGAGGCCTGGTCTTTCCTCCAGCACTACATGCATAACTCACCTGTAGGGAGGTTGTATGAGCCTCCTGCCCAGGCTGTACAGGATCCAGCCACACCCTCTCCCACCCACAGTGAGGCAGTATAGGCCTAAGGAGACCTTAGTGGCTGAAAGAAATCTCCATGGGAGGGAGCCCTTGCTTAGTTGTATCACATGTCTACTTTCTTCAGGGAAGCCTGACAGTGCTTCCCTGCCCTTCCCCAGTGCAGGTCAGCTTGGTGAAGGTGAGAACTGGAACCTTCCCTGTCTTTGCACTCAAGGGCTCAGGGCTGCCACTCCATGAATATCTGATAAGTGAGGAGTAAGTTGGTGTCTCTCCTGCCTCTCTGCCATCTCTAGCTCAGGCAGTGATCTATTGTCCAGTTCTCTTTGCCTCTGTATAACTCCTTGAGCATGGTCTATACCCTCATCTGGGAGACGTGGGGACCAAAACAATGGCCTTGAGGTGAGCAGTATCTGTTCTGTTGCCAAGGGTGACTCTGGACTCCAAAGAACATCAAAACTCAAAAGGCAGTTGTTGCACCTGCTCTGATTACAGGATTATGGTCAATACCCAGAAAAACGTCTGCACACAGTGTGTCTTCATGTACATTTGTGGGTTGATTACACTTGTCTTTCATGACATCTGATAACCATGGATGCTTTGCTATACTCAAGATTTCCTGCTTTGAACAATCCCTGAAGCCCAGACAGTGAATCTCCAGTCTCCTTTCCAATGAAAAGAACTGCTTCCCCCAAGTGTTGGTCAGTGAGAGGGATAGAAGATCATCCATGGGAATCAGCACAGCCTCTAAAATAGGTCTTCAGCACAGCCTCTACAATAGCCAAGGCCACAGCTAAGCACTTACTGTGGAACCCCCATTTCATCCTCAGTGAACCCTGATGTCTTGATCCACTCAGCACACCACCATTCAGTATTGAAAACTGGGGTTGAGTGAGTCCCTTGTACATGGCCAGGACCTGAATCCGCAGGTGGTCAAGTCTCTCTGGGCTGCTAAGGTAAGAACTCACCTCAGCTTTGGTGCCTCTGGGGCTGAGAATTCAGCCCTAGAAAAGTCCAGAGAGAAGTGGCTGGAGCTGGGCCAGCTGTCCAGGAAAGCTGGCTCCAGAGGCTTCCTCAGGCTGTGAGGCCCATCTGCCTGCACCAGGCTTGCCATACAGACCTCTGCCAGGTTCTCTGGTGACTGAGTTCCCATCTGTGGTGAGATAGTGGGGAGACATGGAATTGATGTCCTGCGCATGGCATCTCGGGGGTTTGCGGCTGAAGCAAAGCCCACACTCTAAATGGTCCACAGGGCTTCATGGTACAAGGCTCACAGGAGGACCCCAACAGAAAGGGGAATTTCATATTGAAAGTTACCTTTCATGAGGGACACTTAGGAATACTAGCATGCTCAGTTCACCTTGATAGAGGAGAGGCTGAATAGAACTCTATGCATGAACAAAACTATGAGTAATAAGATGGTCCCCATTTTAGACATGAGAAAACAGAGGCTCATTCTGGATGTCCAAGTTCACTAATGAGGCCCACAGAATGCTCCTCAGGTTTCTGATGAAATGTCCCATGAAGGAATTAAGTTCCTCTTCCATAGCCATGGAAGGTGAGCAGCTGTGTTCACTGCTCTCTTGTTCTCATTTAGCCCAGAGGCTCCTGCAATAGGAACTGCGGTGCCTGAAAAAAATTCTGTGACACAAGTGCCAGATAAATCAACAGAGTGGACTGACGTTTGAGGTGAACACGTCTCTGATGAGGTGATGATATGTAAGAGCTTGAGACAGGGTGGAAAGACAGCCAGCTAATGGTCCATGGACACCAGGCCCAGGACTGACAATGAGGTGCAATGGTAGAATTCAATCATGACAATAAATGAAGTGACTTTGTTTCTATGTCCCTTTCTCCTGCTTCTACCAACATGTGGAGAGTGATCTTGTCTGTGACAAGGTAGAGACTGAGTAGAGAGGATATGGTAGCTGAGCACTGGGAGTCCAGCTTCCTTGGTAGCAGGACTATGGACCCAGTGTTTGACAAGCCCTGGAGCGATGTGCCCAAAGTTCCTCTCAGTCATCTGTGGGCCTCCTTACAGTCCCTTCTGCTCACACACCCTGCACCGGAGCCCATACCTATTGTAATTGTGGGTCCCAGTATCTGGAGCAGGGACATGGCACACAGGGCCCAGGGAAGAGCTCCAGGCCAATGGTCTGTGTGCAGCACTGTAGCAGCAGTGCCCAGCAGCCTGGAGGAAGCCTGAGGCTCTGAGACACCACAGGTTTTATGTTGTTAATCTAGATAATCTTATGTTCCTCAAAGACAGACAGCTCTGTCCCAGACTTCTACCCAGAACCATAGGAGATGTTTATGGAGGCTGTGGATAAACATGGGCACTGCCCTTTTCCTCCTGCCAGCCTTGTTCTATGGGTAAGAACATGACAGTGACCCATGCTCAGAGATTCCCAGTACCTGCCCCTACCCAGGAGAATCTGCCCTCAGTGCCTCTCCTCAACCTCCCTCAGACTGATGACCTAGGCAGGAATTGTTTAGGGGGACTCACAGTGGTGGCCAGGCCTAAAGAGACATGTCTGGATTCAGTATATCTGAGTGGCTGGTGGCCAAGCCTAGGGACATCTGTCCTGGGGTCCCTCTTGTGTCTGGGCACCAGGGGCCTTGGGCCAGTGAGCCCTGCCCAGTGCTGACTTGTCTGTTGGGCAGTTCTCTGAGAGCATCCTGAAGCATCTGGGCCAAGTGAACCATCCTTTCACTTATTCCCAGGTGATTTTCTCATGTGGGGTCCGGCTGAGGCTTCTAGGCATGGGAAAGCATCACAGCATATACACTGGTCACTCTATTGAGCTTTCTTTCAGTGAGTAGGACTGAAAATCACATTAACAATGGTTGTGGATTCTCTGCTTTTCCAACTGTGATCAGCATGCGCTTCAGGAGATCACTTCAAATGACTTCTGCACTGGGACTGAGGCTTGGTGTCCTTGAAACACATTCTCTGTTTCTCTGGTCCCTCATGGAAATTAATGATTGACATCAAATTCCAAGGAAGGTGTGAAAGTTAAGGCTACTTGGGGCACACTGCCCTCCAGAAATCCAGGCCAGTGTAAAACATTTACCCTCCCATTCTACTTTCCAAGGTTTTGTTTTGGTTATGGTTTTGGTTTTTCATTCAGTTTCTAGAGATTGAGTACAGATCTTTTGCATTTAGCTCCATTACCTTCCACTTTTAAAAATCTTCCTTTTTTTTCAGGAGTTTCTCAATAAGTTGCTAAGTTGGTGGGTCTATCCTTGAATTTGTGATATTTCTGCCTCAGCCTTCCAGGCAGCTGGCATTACAAGCCACACACCAGACCTGGTCTCATTATAGTGTTGTTAAAAACTCATTTGATGAGCAAGGAATGGTGAAAATGCCTGCAATGTCAGAACTCAGGCCACTGAGGCAGCAGGATTCCTGGGATTTCCACACAAGACTGCAACACACTCTGAGTTCAGCTCAGGCCACAATGACACAGGGAGACCCTGACCAGAAAAAGAAAATAAACATGTGGGAACAGACAGGAAAGGAAAGAAGAAATAAAACAAAATTCCTGGTGACTATGAATTGGTTTGTCTCTGGGCTATGCATTTTAATCTGCCGTCCTGTTCTTGCAGTATAAGATCCTTTGACTGCCTTCAATTTACAATATACCTGGAAACCAGGTATTTTGATGCCTTTCCTTTTAGTGTTCTTTCCTAGGCTGTAGGATGACTCTTTGTAATTCCTTGTGAATTTTCATTTTTTTTTTTCTAGGAAAGTATTAGTGATACTTTGACATGAATGGCACTGAAACAGCTGGTTGCTCTGGGTATCCTGAACATTGTAACAACATGAATTCTTCCCATCCACCATCACAGTGTGTCTTTTCTTCTGTTAGTGCCATTTCACTCATTGCATCAGTTTCTACAGTTTTTAAAGAAAAGGTGAGTTTGGTTAATTTTTTCCTAAGCATTAACTCTTTTTGATGAATTATGCAATAAATTGTGTTCTATGTATTTGAGGCTACAGTTTGTATGAAGTGCATAAAAATGAATTGATTAGGACATGTGGATCTTGTATCTCGCAATTTAAGTGATTTATAAATTTAACCCTAAAAGGTTTTCAGTGGAGTTTTAAGTTTCTTATATGCAAGGTTGTGTCCTCAGGAAACAGAGCCAACTCTTAATTCTTACTTTCTGATTTGAAAGGCATTGCTTTGTTATTCTTAACTAAATTCTAGGGTTAGGACTTCAAATATTATGTTGAAAAGATTTGCAAGTCTTGTCTTGTTCCTGATCTGAGTAGAAAATCTTGCAGTTTGTCTGCCTCTGAGCACCATGTCAGGGATGGACTTCTCATAATAAAGATCATCATACCTGCATAGCCTATGCTGCACTGAGGCCCATTCTTCCTACACATGGTGTGTGTGAGTAGTTCTTCCCATGACAGAATGTTCAACTTTGGAATTTTTGAAAGCTATTTTTCCAAGTCTATTGAGGGGTTAGCTGTGCCCCATTCTGTGAAAGAGACAAGTGACACTGAATGGTTTTTGCAGTGGAACCATTCCTGCAGCACTGGGATTGATCTTGGTGTTGATTGTGGTGCTTCACTTTTCCATGTTCTGGTAAATTTCCTGGAAGAATCCAAAAATGATTACTACTTATTCTTTATTACACATTTGAAAAATTTTTGAGGGACATTTATCTTAGCCTGGCTTTTGTTGTTGGTATTAATCAGTTTTGATTGTTGATCCATTGCCTATGTTATTTTTTCCTCTGTTCATCAGTGTGTTTGCTCCTGATGTGTGTGGGTCAGTGACTCCAGTGGAGACCACATTCCCATTAAGGTCACGTGTCATTTTACTTAGGGATGCCGCCATTTATTTTGTATTTTCAAGCTCTCCCTGTAGTATGTATTTTTGTCAGTCACTCCTTTCATTTACTTAGTCTTTTAATGCAAACTGTTCTCCTCGGGTGGCTATTGCTGGGGGAAACTGGAGCTGGTCAGGTGCCCGTATCTTATTTCAGGCCTCATACCCTAGCCTGCCTGCAGTGTCCCCATCTCCTGACCTGCTCACTGTAAATACCTGTCCCACTTCACAGCTATGATGAGTCCACATGCAGCAGTTCAGATCTGGCTTGGGTGGAAGACATTCAGCCAATGTGGGCTCTGTAACAGGCTGACCTTTTCATAGAGATCTCACCTGTGTGAGACAGGGGGCCTGAGGTCTGCAGGTAGGAGCTCTGGCAGCAGGGCCTTTCCTGCCCTCTTCTGTCCAGTGTGCACTGTGTGCTTCTTTGCTGAGATGCTGACTTGTGGATCAAGAAGCCCAGAACTGGACCTTTCTTGCCCCTGGTGCAGCGGTGTCCTGTACCTCTGCCTGGTCCATTTTCTCCTGACATCAGATCTCCACAGAGATCTGAGCACCCCTAGACTTCCTCTTCCAGACTCCGACTCAAAGTGGAGACTTCAGGTATGAAATATTTGATTATGAAATTCAACCTGTATACATTTAACCTAGAAATTCCACTGCTAAGTCTTCATTATAAAAAATGAGATTGGCAGTCACATGTATTCTCTTCTTACTCATAGTGTGAAAAGTTAGAAACCATGAATTTACCACAACAAAGCTGCCAAGTGAATTACAAACTAACAGGCACTGAAAATGCTGAAAGAAAGCCATGTCCTAGGCCATGGCCCTGGTCTTCCCTGATATGACAGAGAGCTTGTGGCCTGGCCCTCTCTCCACTCAGCAGTGAAGAGACACAGGCACACATGGCAGGCAAGGACTGGAGAGAGGAGCTAGTGGAGGGCAGACCATGATCCTGGGAGGGAAGCCTTTGTGGTTTTTCCATTTTCCATTTCCACTGCATTATTGACAGTGCTCCACTCAATATTTCTTCTCTTATGCTCAACTTAGTTAAGAATAAGTAGTGTTTAATTTCTTGAACAGATGAGTGAGAATGGAAGATTTAATTTTCATTTATATATAATGAAGGATATGCACAGTACAGAAACTTCAAACATAAGAATAAGGATTCTTGGTATTCAGAAAATCAACACATTGTTTATGACTAATTTTTAAAACCATAACACATGAGATCATGCAGAGCCCCTCCATGGTGGGGAGGTGCTGCCCTCCCCACCCTAGAAGCTACCATGTTCACCTGTGCCAGTGACTCTCAGAGGACAGCAAGAGTTTTTCTTCAGAGTCTCTTTTTCCAGCGAGGAGGAATTGAATTTTCTTGCTGCCCAGAGGCGCAGGGAGTGTGCAACATGCAGAAGAGCCCAGCACTGCCTGCCTTACAGCCTTTCCCCCACTGCATCCATGCTGCAGCCCTGCAGGCATGGGAGGGAAGAACCCCCAGGATGGAGGAAAGACTCTCCCACCTCAGCCATAGGGGCCTCAGTGACTGGGTCCCGGCCTCTGCTTCCACCAGGTGCCTGATACTGCCCTGGTTGGTGCTCTCATAGTGGATCTAACACACCCTCAGCCTCCTAGGCCAAGTGCATTTCCCACAGTGATCCTTCCAGTCTGCAAATTTTGCTCCTCTCCTTTCTGACTGTGTCTGGAGCATTAGAACAAAACACAGCATTAGCATTACCTTTTCTCTTTCTTTCTTTCTTGTTTTTTTTTTTTTTTTTTTTTTTTTTTTGTTTTTTGGTTTCTTAAATTATTTAAGCATATATTTAAAACTGCATTTTGCCAAAAAGCTTTTCTTCAGTTTTTACTCCTCAGTTGTCTGGGGTTTTACATTTTTGTACTGCAGTTCAAACCCTAGATGTTTGGATGCTCAGAATCCACTCTGCAGCTTGGTAGAATGAGGGAAGCAAAGCAGAACTTGAACTTGGGGACATTTCTGTCCCTTGTAGCATCTTGTAGAGCAAACCCTACCTAATGTCTTTTTACCCCCGAACTATAGGCTTCAGTAGCAACTGAATCTTCCACTGACAAAATGTGTGCCCTACATTTTTCCAAATAATGTCATTTCCTCTCAAATGGCTATGCAAATAGTATAAGGTTTCTTATGCCCAAACTTGAAAAATAATTTCCAGTAGAGAAGAGGCTGCCACCCCTCCTGAAATCATGATGGGATATTATGTAAATGCATATTCTGATCCACACCCTGGCAGCCATAAGCTGAGAGAGGTGGAGATGGCTTGTGCAGATAGGAATCACCTTGAAATTGTCAAGCAGCAGCAGCAGCAGCAAAAAGCAGGGGCCAGAGCTGATGAGACCTCACAGTAGGGTGATGAAATCTTGTGGTGGGTTTGCCCTGGGTTTACTGAGGCAGCTCAGTAACTCTAGGTTACTGCCAGGGTCCATCTTCCTGCAGTGCAATACAAAGGGGAAGTCATGTGCATGCAGCATTAACTGGGAGATTTTCTTTTGCAGTTAAGAAACTGTATGCATGAGATGTCCCCTCTGCCATAGGAGACCCCTCCCCGGAGTATTATTTCCATGTCTCCTAAAGGGTCAGTTTATTTACACAACATGCAGAGTGCTGTTCTGAGTCTTACCTGCACCTCTGGGACCTGGGGCCAGGGCAGGGTTCCCTCCAGCAGCCAGGCACAGCATGCTCCACACAGCTCTCCTATGTCCACCTCACTTGTGGTCCATGTCTTGTGGGAGGGGTCCCCCCCAGACACTTCACTGTAGTGCTACTGAGGACTGCAGACATGCCCAGAGCCATCGGAGCCTGTGACACAATCTTCAATTCCTCTTCATTGGGGGATGAGAGAAATTGAATCTCTCCTTCTGTCAACTCTATTTCTGCACTGAAGGATTTTTACTGAGGGGAATCAACAGCAAGTATGTTGATATCTGTGAAGCAGCTCAGTGGTGCATGACTTCCTGCCTTTCCCACAGAACTAGCCAATGTACAAACAGCTTATATGTAAATACCTTTTAAAAATGTAATGTGGTTCTATTGTATGTGTCTTTCATGGCTCCTTTTTCAGAAACTCTTCTCACCTGATAGTTGTGTTGTTTTCTTGTTTTTTTTTTTTTTTTTTTTTTTTTTTTTTTTTTTTTTTTTTAACTGAGGAAGAAAAGCAAAGACTGAGTGGCCCTGGTCCGGATACTGTGACCTCTCCTACAGCTGAGTCTTGGTCCTCTTCCAACCCATCCTTGTACTCTGTGCTGTCTCCACGCCCTCCCCCCACACCCTGGGAAGAAAGGGCACCTCTGTTTGGTTTAAGTGAGGCTTCTCAGGTGACATTTCTTCAACTAAGGAAAAACCTCTTTTCCACCTTTATATGGACCTTCTGCCCCTTTTTCTGTCTTCTGAGGCTGCTAATGACAAGTCCAAGGAGGACTCTGTACTGGAGAACTATGTTTGTGTCATTAATATATGCTTTTATAAATGCCAGATTTAGAAAAAGAAAAAAGAAATTTTGGTTACATTTATCTGTTTCACAGGTTCTTGATAGATTCCTGTGCTACTTCCCCTCACAAAGATGACATTGTCCAATAAGGACTTTGAGAGTAAAACCAAGAAAATCATTCACATTTCTGGCCTCTGTAGCTCTGCTTCACTAAGTGATGGGCAAATCTCCCAGACTCTGCCTTGCTCTGCCTCTGTCACTCTGTCTGTCTCATGCACATCTCTGTGTATACACACATTGATGTCAGAGATACTACATTGTAAAACCTGAGACCATCCACACACACACATCCATCTTGCATCCATGTGTTATTTCATAATGAGATTCCTTGACCTCTTTCCCTGTGAGCCCAGAGAGACTGAGCTCAGCATCCCTGTAGCTTTCCCTGGTTCCCATGGCCCACACTGATGGCCTGCACCCTCTACATGGAGGGTAGAAAGGGTCCCAGTATCTTGCTGCTTCTAACAGTGCTGTGAACAAGTCTTGAAAAGAAAACTTAAAAGGTAGTGCATCTTTTTCTTTATTTTTTGTGTTGTGAAGCTCTCTGTGTGGGAGA